ATCTATCTATCTATCTATCTATCTATCTATCTATCTATCTATCTATCTATCTATCATCTATAAAAGCAACCAGCCATCCCGTGTAATAATATATAGGCCAGCCGCTTCGTTACACAGTGTTGTATTGATTCCCCCGATACATGGTTAAGGCGGCCCTTGTGCTCATATGATTAATTATCCAATGAGTTGAGCCATGAAAACCTGTTTAAAGGATTTGTAACACCAAAGGTTGATCGTAACTGTTTTACACTTCTATGGACATGGTTTAGATTATATTTTAGTTGGCGGAATGCTTCGGCATGTCGGTTATTTATCGATCTTATTAAATATAGTTGAGGACAAGATGATTCACAGATCAATTCAGGATACACACAAAAACAACAAACAACAAACGAATAAAACAACAACCCACCAACAACTTTTCCTCAACAATGTTTTTGGCAACATCCATTTAACAGGATGTACGGGGAAGCTATCATATATCTATCGGGAGTGACAATATCTTGTTCACAAAACAGTAGATTGCTTTACAAGAACGCCATCTCGAAAAACTAAACGAATTATTTGCTCACGCGAATTCCCCTAGGAGCAAGAAATTTTAACAGTATCTCTGCATATGGCACTATAATGTTTTTGCATGCACTTGAATCCCGATTTTACATTGTGCTATATCTTTAATAGTACGGGGAAGGATGATTACGGAATGATACACGTTTTAGAAACCGTAAACGTACCCGTGTCTGGAGCATTGGGTTAAATTTCCCCATAGCACATTTCTAAACATTAAATTGAAACACGACTTCACTACCGCCAAGGGGAACGATTGAATTTTTTTGGGTACGGAATCGATGTTCTTTCTGTCCGTTTACACAATCTGTGGTCAGTGGTAGATGCCAGACATTTTAGCCTTCATTACACGCTTGGGACTCTGGCACACAAGTATTGTGGGAGGAGATAAGAGTTGGGGACCAGCACTGGGTTGGATTGGCAGGTGATATACCTTATATGTGAGAAAAGGCATTATTGTGATGGATCTAAAAGCTAACGAAAACGTTGAAATGGGTCTAACGAATTCGCGCATACAAATCAGCATAATATATAGATAAAATACAACGGAAGGCGGAAAGAAGGGGGCGGGGTAAATGAAATGAAGTGAAAGTAAGAAAAGAAGAACAGTAAAGGAGACGAAGTAGAGAGGGTAAGTGACAGAGTGAGAGAGAGAGAGAGAGAGAGAGA